TTCTGGAAAACCCTAGTTAAAGCTGTCGGTTCAAATCAACGCAGCGCACATCAGTGGTTTTTTTTTTTCTAGTACTAATATTTAAACATTCTTAAATCAAGATACATTTACTGGAGATTCAAAATAACTTCAGATATATAATAAAAACGGCAAATTAGCGTATCCGGATCATTTCCATAATGATCAACACTAGCGTCTGGTTTATATGGAAGCTTGTTTCCGCCTCTGAGAAAAAATAAATAATTGCGACTTTTTATCTCACAATTGCGAGTTAATATCTTGCAATTCTGACTTTATAACACATAATTGCGAGTTTATATCGACATTCTGACATCTTTTCTCAGAATTGTGAGATATAAACTCGTAATTCCGAGTTATCAGGCCAATTCCAAGGGGAAAAGACTAACTTTTTTCCCCTCAGAATAGTTTATACGCAATTTCGCGTAATAGTTAACACGCAATTTGGACTTTATATCATGCATTTCTGACTTAATAACAAGCAATTGCAACTTTATTTCTCACAATTCTGACTTTATCACACAATTCTGACTTTACATCTCGCAATTCTGACTTTATCACACAATTCTGACTTTACATCACGCAATTCTGACTATATATCACAATTCTGACTTTATATCTCACAATTCTGACTTTATATCTCGCAATTCTGACTATATATCACAATTCTGACTTTATATCTCACAATTCTGACTATATATCACAATTCTGACTTTATATCTCACAATTCTGACTTTATATCTCGCAATTCTGACTTTATATCACGCAATTCTGACTTTATATCTCGCAATTCTGACTTTATATCACGCAATTCTGACTTTATATCTCGCAATTCTGACTTTATATCATGCAATTCTGACTTTATATCTCGCAATTCTGACTTTATATCTCGCAATTCTGACTTTATATCTCGCAATTCTGACTTTATATCTCGCAATTCTGACTTTATATCACGCAATTCTGACTATATATCGCAATTCTGACTTTATATCTCGCAATTCTGACTTTACATCATGCAATTCTGACTTTATATCTCGCAATTCTGACTTTATATCTCGCAATTCTGACTTTATATCACGCAATTCTGACTTTATATCTCGCAATTCTGACTTTATATCTCGCAATTCTGACTTTATATCACGCAATTCTGACTATATATCGCAATTCTGACTTTATATCACGCAATTCTGACTATATATCGCAATTCTGACTTTATATCTCGCAATTCTGACTTTACATCATGCAATTCTGACTTTATATCTCGCAATTCTGACTTTATATCTCGCAATTCTGACTTTATATCTCGCAATTCTGACTTTATATCTCGCAATTCTGACTTTATATCACGCAATTCTGACTTTATATCTCGCAATTCTGACTTTACATCATGCAATTCTGACTTTATATCACGCAATTCTGACTTTATATCTCGCAATTCTGACTTTATATCACGCAATTCTGACTTTATATCTCGCAATTCTGACTATATATCTCGCAATTCTGACTTTACATCATGCAATTCTGACTTTATATCTCGCAATTCTGAATTTATATCTCGCAATTCTGACTTTACATCATGCAATTCTGACTTTATATCTCGCAATTCTAACTTTATATCTCGCAATTCTGACTTTATATCACGCAATTGCGACTTTAAATCACGCAATTCTGAGAAATAAAGTCAGAATTGCAAGATGTAAACTCACAATTGTGAGAAAAAAAGTCAGAATTGTGAGATAAAAAGTCTCAATTACCTTTTTCATTTTTCATTCTGTGACGGAATTCCGCTGATACGGAGAATGGCTGCAAATACACAAACCTGCCAGACGCATGAAGTCACGCCCAGTCTCAAATCCGTCATTTATTTTACTGTACAGGATTATAGAGGCAATCGCAGTGATCAGAGAATGGGTCATTCAGCCCATCAGCCAATTGTTTAAGCATGTATGTGTTCGAAAAACGGCTATTTTAACATGAAATGTTGAGCACTGCACCTTTAATGGAGAACAGCTCTCATGAACGCCATTTTTTTCAATATGTCCATCGGCGTTGATCAGTCTCACACACACCCACACCCACACACACACGTCATTATTCATTATTGTTTATACAATATTAGATGTTGCCTCTTTACATTCAGCACAAAAACTGCTGTAAATGTAGACGTGTGTATTAAATTGTGGCTTGCAGATCTTGGCGATCACACAGATTTCTTTCACGCGAAATCCAAACATGGCGCAACTGTTGGTCAGCCGTCGGCCTGGCAGCTAACGTGATACGTGTGGATGTTTCTGAAGACTGAAGCGCAGCGGAGAAAGTTGGTCACTTTAAATCATCCATCATTAAGGGCGAGAAAAGGGCTGATGCTGTTTTAGATCTGAATGTTTTCCGCGGTCGTGTGTGATTATTAGCACCCCTGGGTTTGGGTTAGCATGACGTGAGGCTTGAAATGAATGCTAGTGCTCTTTGTCAAAGAAAACACAAAATATAATCACTTGTGATTTTTCCATTATCACATGAAGCTCTCACGCAATCAATCAAGTTGCGTACACATTAAACTGGCTACCGTGTGACATCTTAATAACATGATCTCGCTTCGGATAATGACAGCTTACCTGGCTTGTTAGCTTAGCCTGTAGCGTTTGTGAGCTAATATAATCTTATTTTCCATCCACCAGGACGGGTGCAATTGCATTTAACATGCTAAATATGTTTTTCAAACCAGCCTGAGGTAGTTTCTTGGTTTCCTAACCTTTCAACGCAGTCTGTTTTGATCATTTTATTGTGAAATAGTGCATAAGTATGTGAATTGGGACGCTCTTATAGTTGTGTATAAAGCTTTTGAAATGAAGCAAATCAAAATAGCATAGAAAGACCGCAGTGGCGGATGTTTTTGTTTAGTTTGGTCTGTGATCTTGCGGTCTACAGAAGAAGATCTACTTACATGATTATAAGTCTGGTTAGAGAGACGCGATTCTGGTTAAATTGCGACTCGTGATTCAAATAGAGATTGCGATTCCTCTATGATTCTGAACAGACAACTAAAAATATGGTCATTTAATGAAGGTTAATTGTTGCAGTTAATTTAAAAATGTTTAATTGATTTTTATTTAATTTTAATTCATTTTCTTTTTTTTATATCGGGTTTAGTGAATTATTCAATGACTCACTCATTAATACTTGTTTCATTACTGGATGAATCAGCGTTTGTGAACAAATCACTTGAATGAATGATTAATTGACTCAGTCATAAACACTTCAATTGTTTCCTTACTGGATGAATCAGATTTTTTTTTGAACAATCTCTTGAATGAATGATTTAATGACTCACTCATAAATACTTCACTTGTTTCACTACAGGATGAATTAGCGTTTTTAAATGAATCTCTTGAAAGAATGATGCAATGATTCACTCATAAAATACTTCACTTGTTTTTGAACGAATCTCTTGAATGGATGATTCAATGACTCACTCATTAATACTTGTTTCATTACTGGATGAATCAGCATTTTTGAACGAATCTCTTGAATGAAAATGATTCAATGACATTCATTTTTACATCACTTGTTGCCACCTACTGGTGTAACGATGTAATGATACAACAACCATTATATGAAGTGCCAATTTACTTCATTTTCTATTTTGATCGTTACCACACACGTTAGTGTTTATATCCGAACTATACTCTTTTATGACTTCTGTGATAACATGAATATTTGTAAAATAAATAATAAAACTGTGGTTGAAAAGACCGTTTGTGGAGCCGTTTCATACCTAAACATGACGACTATTAGACAACTAATAGACACAGCCAGGCGTAAATGTATCAAGATTGCAATGATTATTATATTTATTTTAGTAAATCTTTTTATCTTTTTAATGTATTCTAGTATTCTTATAATTATATTTAAATTGTGCACTGAAATACTAAATAGTGTGTGAAACACAATTTCATTTTTATGTACACCATGAAAATGACAAATAAAGGAATCTGTATCTGAAATCTGAATCTGAATCAATCTTTTAACAATTAATCATACAGCTCTAAGTCTGGTGTTTGCTGAGATGGAAAAGACAACCATTAACATTTTATGAATGCGTGTGTGTGTTCTAGGACTCATCTTCAAGCAGACGCTGTGTAAACATGACCTCATCGTCAATGTGGATGTCAATGGCATTCTCAGACCTGTTAATAAAGATGTGTTTTTCAAATGCTAGCATTTCATTTTCCACATTAGGCTGGTTTTAAATTCGCCATATGCAAAATGAGCTCAGCTCTCAATTTAAACTCAGAGCTGGCTGATGAATTATAAACAATTATTCCACATTGACTTGTGAAAGTCATTAGGTGCTGTTTTCTGGGCTGATGAGTGACAGATGACTGGAAAAGCTGGTGTAGAAACCGAAATCCACATTTACTATGAAAACTCTATGGGTACGTGGCACATGACGGAGGAAGATTTGACCACGCTGCTGTGATCGAACGGGTCACTATATGTGTATAAACACAGGGTTCTGTAACACCTGGAGAAATTACGCAATTATTTTTTATCTCTCTGAGAACACAGAACTTTCTGAGCCACAGACGTCATGTGACTTACACAGGAAAATCATCTTTTAATTACATTTTTAAAACAATGAAAAAGATTCTCATAATGTCTGCAAAATTATAAAATTGAATGAACATTCCCATAATCAAGAATGTTCAGATAACATTCAGAAAAAATGTTTTCATAACCTAATAATTATGCCAGTATCCTGTATATTCAGTCAGAAAACTCTAGATGGCGCAGACTGACAGGCTCTCAATGACATCATCTAACAACGCTCGAGGTGATTGGACTGATTCTGCAGCCAATGAACTCGCTGCTTACCTTTTTAAATAGTTTGGTCCTGTGTTTGCGCCAGCTCCACCTGCTTCAGGTATTTAATGTGTACATGAGTATATCTTTCATGTCTGTATATAGCAGATCTATTCCACCAAGACCAAATAGATTAACATCATCACCATGCCAAACACTCATGATTATCTAACAAGACAACATATTAACATCTGAGGAGATTAGATGGTAAGCAAACAATTATTCCTTGTAATCAATGTGTTTATGCAGGAGAAATGGACAGGAATAAAGATCTGAGTGACTTTGACAAGGGCCATAATGTTATGGCAAGGCGAACGGGTCCGAGTATCAGTATAATTATACCGATAAACCTTAAAATAGAATGAACAGGTTTGAACTTTTCTTGCCATTTTATTAAAATTACCAGTTGAACAGAAAATTTTCTTGCATTTAAATGCGACTTTATAATTTTGTTAACAGACTTGAATCAGAGTGGACTGCATTTTTTTTTTTGTTCTCACTCATTTTCACTTAATTTATTTGCTTTTGGTCAAAATCTGTCAGTGGGACGTGGCTGAAGACGGTAGACATTTTCTGTTGACCAGATGAGGCCCACAGCGGCCTGACCATCCAGTGTTTTCCCGTCAACCAAAGTATAACTCATCGGTTGTGCTTACGGGAACTAGATTGAATCCCGCTATAAATTGTAGGACAGGACGAAATGAAGACAGTTCGGTTAATATTGGAGTTGTGCAGTTATCCCTCGATGCTAAAGACAATAAACTTCAATTGCGTTTAGCATAATTAGACATGGAAACCATGCAATTACAAACACATCTCCAGGGCCGAATCAAAGAGAAACGTTACGTTCAAGATTATAGGAAAATATAATTCAGTAATTTGAGACCACAGCTACAGATAATTATTTTTTTCTTCTCAGAAACATGTAAAACAGAATATTCTTTAAGTTAATGTGGGAAAGCACGATTGTTTGCATTCCAAAACAAAGATGCATGTGTGCAGTTGATGCAGTTCTCAACGCTACCAGTTGATGTCGCTGCAGCGCATCAGATTGTGGGCAACTCCCGTTGACAATTTTCCACTGAAAGGCAGGCTATTTGTTTTTTTTTTTTTCAATTAGGTTTTTGTACACGTAATTGCAGAGCAATTGCTCCCAGTAAATGCTGTTCATTTTCTGTATATTAGACACCAAACACGATTAAAATACTACCAATATTCCTATGAGAAACATAGCAGGCACGTGTAAGCAGAGCTGGGTCATCCCAGAATGCATTATGCCACACACGGTTTCTGGAAACGCGGGGAAATTAAACGTTATGGAGAAATAATAAACAATGTAAGATAGTTCGCATGCTAATAAAAATCCAATCTTGCAGATAAACCTTAGACAACCAGCCAGGGGAATTGCTTATATTTTCTTACCTCAATCTGCTAGGCTATAACATGCTTGTAAAGTGCTACAATTTTCACTTACCTGTCCTCACTTACAAAACAAGTAGATGTGGTACTTTGATATAAATCACAGAATGATAGTAACCTAAATTTTTTTTTTTTTAATTTTTGTGGTAACTAACCAATAGAGAGCATAGTCAATATTTACAGAAAATGTCATATTTTACAATTCTAGCTAGAACAAAATCATTTAGATTATTTTTTTTACTTCACTTTGATAATAAACAAACCAATGTGTACACAAATTACCATACTGATTTAAACAGAATTTACTATAGAATATAACATTCAGGGCTCAATTTTTGATGAATTTACATGACATTTCTATAACCTTTCCAGACATTTATGATTACTAAACAATGACTTAGTTTTAAAAATATTTTTGATACAGATTAATTAGTCATATTTACAACAAAATAAACTAATTGCATGCACAAAATAGCATTGCAATATAGCATTGCAAACATTCCCATTCTTCAAAACCATGCTGTATTTTTGTGTAGTTAAGATAAACCCGATATCTCGCTCCGAGGAAAGTGACTTCGTAAACACGAGCTTCTCAGTAGGAAATAAAAAGCACCATAAGCCATAAAAAAAGTGTAATTTACTCAGAGTATAGGATATCAGTATGACAAGTTTTATTCTACACAAAAGTTTTTTTGAGCATTATTTGTTCACACTGTTAAGCTCTACTACTGGCAATATCACTGTCCACCAGCAGGTGGCGCACTCTCCTCAGAAACCTGAACCTCATGCACATGGTGTTGTATGGCTCCTTTTCACATTACGCCCGTCTCTGTCGTGTCAGATTTGTGCAGGGCCAGAGAGACAGATTACATTCAGCCCAAACACACTGAAACACGGCCAGCTTTCCCAAGCGCTAGCCAACTGCTGCCCCGGGTCGGGGGCAAACACCTGCACATCATTACTCGTCAGATCCGTTCACCATCGGCTCGGTTTGCACGCGAGAGAACCCGAGGAACCGCTGATTGCTCGTGCACAAACGGTCACATCTCCTCCAATCGAGCCGTGTTGTACTGACGAGAACAAGCAGAGCTTCACACGCACACAGAGGGTTCAAAGTGCTTTTATTAAAGAAGGCCTTGCGCGGGAAATCTTTTGTTTTCAATCCGCTTTTAATAAGATAAGACAAGCTTCCGTGATGACGAGCCGTTGAAAAGACACTCGAGAGATCTAATGAAAGAAACAAAGCAAAGGAAAGGGTGAATTAGGAAAACAAAGAGGTGATTATCATGAGGAAATAAGCTCTGTGCACTTAAAGGAGCAGTTCACACAAAATGGAAAACGAAATGAAAAGTCACACTCATCCTCGTGTTGTTGCAAACCTGTGAAACGCAACATTTCATACAATGCAAGGGCTGTTAAAACAAAAAAGCACTAGTTGGAAAATTGACCATTGCTCTCAAATCTCATTTGCACATGCATAGTGAAGTTATCATCAATTACGATTGAACAGAAAACGAACCATCTCAAGTCTAATTTGCCGAGATGTTCAGCTCAAATGTGGTGTATTAAGATCAAAATGTAATCATTAAAAACCTTCCCTTAGGTGAACTGGTGAAGCTCTCAAATTTAAATCGTTTGCTTCAAAAGACGATGTGTGTGGAGAGGAAAAATGATATTCAAGTGCGTTCACGTTCGCTCACAAAAGTTTCTCGCAACGCTTTTTTGTTGGAAAGCGCAACATTTTGAGTCAGCTTTGTGCACAAATGCAAAGTTTCTTAGGAGAAACGCAACATTTTGCTAGCAAATGTATTTATCGACTGAGTGTTTTTTGTTTGTAAAGTACAAAAGTTTTGTAAGTGTTTTTTCTGAGGAATGCAAAAGTTTTGCCAGCAAACTCAAACTTTCTTGGGGGAACATGAAAGATGTGAGCGAACTCGACATTTTCAGAGGAACGCAACGTTTTTTTGTTAGAAAGCGCTAAAGTTTTGTCAGCAAATGCAAAGTTTCTCAGCAGAATGCAGGAGCTTTGTGCACAAATGCAAAGTTTTTTTTGCGTACGATTTGCGCGCGAAAGTGGCGTTTTTTTTTTTTGTTGGAAAGCACAAACGTTTGGTCAGCAAATGCAAAGTTTCTCAGCAGAATGAGGTAGCTTTCTGAAGAGATACGAAGTTTCCTGAGGGAAAATACGTTTTACAAGCGAAGGCAAAGCTTTTTATTGGAAAGCGCAAAAGGTTAGCCAGCAAACTCAAACTTTTTTAGGGGAACATAAGATTTGTGAGCGGATGCCGCTTTTTTTGTTGATGGAAAGCGCAAAAGGTTTTCCAGAAAATGCAAAGGTTATAAGCGCGCGAATGCAAAGTTCTTTGGGAGAACCACAAAGTTTAGCGAGCAAATGCAAAAGCTCTGAAATCGGATCTTGCATCGGATCTAACCTGCAGAAGTCGCGCATCACGTCACATCTCAACAACGTGGAGGAGATCTGGCAGCGGCTGTGGAATACTGTCAGTGAATAATGACTTCAATTTGGGTTTGTTCCTCGTATAGGGTGACCACCTGCTAATAAGCCCAAGGGGGGACAAGGGGTATGTTTCTGAGGGACAATGTGGGACACTGCTTGGCGCGGCGGTGCCCCCACCCCACGGGCAGACTCTGATAGTGGTTTACCCATATCTAGAATTGTTACTATTGCCTTACTGTTTGTACATGAATAATTGTTAAAAAAAAGCACATACCTTAGCACATGCATTAATAATGTCCTATTCCCTAAACATGTGTAATTGCTGATATATTCTCATGAATAGGCCAACCAATGTGTATTTGTTTTCTAAATAAAGATGACTATTTTGAACATTCAATGAATTGACAGCACTTCCACTTACGATTTACTTTAGCTATTTAATTTTATTTATTTTTTATTACAATTAATTCACTTTAAATCAATAACAGTATAAAATTATAGGATTAACAGGAATTATAGTTGCTCAACACCACAGGAACAGTTTTAAAAAAGTCGAAAAAAAGTCTAAACTCACAACTCCAGAGGTTCACGGAATGAGAAGCTGCGCTGTCATGACAACAATGAAAAAGTTGACATCAATCTAGTCAGCAGGTCACGTGGGAGTGGCAACCAGTCTTGATGAAGTTCACTTTCTACATGAACTAGTTCAATGTTCAGTTCACACATTTTAAAATGAACTAGTTAAGTTCAAGTTTGCACAGAAATGTAAGATTTTTCCCATCTTCACCGACCTCGTTATAAAATCCGTTTAAATTACCTATCATACGACGCCTTTGTCGACGGCGGCCGCGGTGCGACACTGGTGGCTTGTGTTGCCAGATTGGGTGTTTTTTCGCTACATATTGAGCCCTGTTTACGGTAAGTTTTAGCAGGGTGTTCGCCTGGAAGGCTCTATAGAAATCTGGCACCCCATTGAATGAAGTTAAACAGAGAGAGCGTGCGTTCAGAGACACCAGAATGAACGAGTTCACACGTTCATCAAGACAGGCAGTTAAACAATACGTTCAGTTCACCCAAAATATGAACAAGTTCATGAACGTGAACGTGTTCAGACACAACGTTTGGCTGCCTGCGTCTCGAGGATAAAGAGTGACCGACTTTTTTTGAGCAAGCATTGATTATGCGTGACGCGGTCTCAATTTGCGGGACGCATGAATTGGGCTTCAAACGCTGTGCGCGCACGCGCTACGCGGGACGGGTGGTCACCCTATCCTCGTATACATATGACTTCAGAAGGCCAATCAGGCTGTTCTTCTAACACAACTTAACCCTGTGTGCGTTTTCCTCAGATTGCGTAGGATGAGGAACCCCTGCCGAGCGAGGGATCCGTGTCCTGGAGAGTAAACGCAGAGGTGTTTTAACAGTAATATATCCAGCACTCACCTCCATCCGTGCGATGTGTGTTTTTAATCAGCTGTGAGAGTGTGTTTGTCATTACTCCGGCCCAATGAAACACAGATGTTGCATCTAGGGATGAGCGCTCGTGTGATAAAAGGAGAAACTTGATGCTTGGAGGAGGAATAAAGTGTGAAAGGAGGATGTTTTCCAGATCTGTCAGTGGGCCAAAAGAAAAAATATACATGTAAAACTCGAACCTTTTATATTGTATGACACGAACCAGTAGCCTATTAATATTCAGCAGCATTTTGCCAATGGCTTCGAGTGTGGCTCATCTAATCAGAATTTAGTGGCAACAAACAAAATGTTTCCTTTTCTCTAATGTAGTAGTTTCCGGTTAAGTAACGCTTTGGATCCCAGGTCACAACACAAACACAGTTTAAAGATTACCAGTCTGATCCGGTCACATGACCGGACCATGGAGCGATGACATCATCTCCTGTTGGTCACACTGGGTTAATGTAATAAGGCCCGTCTGTGAGTGTGTTTCTGGGTCATCATGGCTGATCCTCAGGACACAAGCAGGTAAAAGAGTCGCAGCGGGACAGACGGCCTCGGTGAACTCGAGATGTGGAAGTGTGTGTGTATGAGGAGCTGGAGTCAGAGTGGCACCTGTGACTGCCGGATCTCTGAAGCTCCTCTGATTGATCACATTACAAAGAGCATGTGTGTCTGTTATCTGCTGGAAACACAGGTCAACATGACACTGAAATGATCATTAACATCCAGATGGAATCAATAGATGCTTGATATAAAAAAAAGTCAATGTTTGGATCAGTAAATTCTGGGAAACTGGAACTTAATGAAAAACAATATAAAATCCAGGGGATGGTTTTATATATTGTGGTATCTTCAGTAATATAGAAATCTCAGTATACTATATATATAGCCTATATATATTATTTTTATTTATTTTATTATATATTAGATAATTATATTATTATTGTAGTAAACCTTAATTATTCTTTAAAGAGGTTTAACAATTTATGGAGGACAGAGGGCACGTCACCACACAGGATTTTAGAGAAAATATATATTTTTATTGACAATCTGATTTAGAAAAATAGTACCATCACATCAATACACATTGAAAGAGGCTCTAGCCCACATTAACTCAGCACGCGCGCACCAGGACAATCGCGATCCCCAAGTGAACACTTCAAACGTCACTACACTCCAGTGGTTACTCCCCAGCCCAGCCCAGCACACTAGAACTCGTGATCACACTACAATCCTTTATCAAGTGGAAGAATCATCGTCCTTGGTCCCGCGTACACAAAGCAATGGGCGTACACACTCTAACATACGCAACTCTCACATACACATTCACACCCACACATAACTCATGAAATGGTTAAAATATAAAACACTTCCCCGATTTCCAGGCAAATAAGACCCCGCCCAGAGGTCTCGGGGAACGGAATCAGCCGTGATGAAGTCCACAGAGGCAGCACGCGTTGTTTGTCCGTCCCAGCCACAGCAGTCACAATAATGGCATTAATTAGTCCTCTTCGCGCTAGGTTCTCTTTAAGGATCACTGGTGATGCACGAGTTCTTTATTTTATGCGAGACGCAGCTCTTTTAATCGCTCCAGGAACACGTGGCCAGCGCTCCTATACCCCCGTCCCACTATTACTAACTACACCGATGTCTCTCTAGCTAGCTATCTTCGTTGCCGGACAAACCCTAATGGTCTCGAGCAACACAAAGCGTCCCCGTTTCCCTCCGAGCGCGAGAAGCCAATCACGTCCTTCCGAACTTCCCCTCTGCTCTCTTAAATGTCCTCCAGTCCAGGTGAGATCGATCATCAATAAGCACATACTACGAAATGGTTCAGACGGGCGGAACCAACGCCAAACAACACAAAAAGATACACCCCCACGCCATTCATCACACTATCCCCTCCCCTCGGGTAAACAGGACTCGTCCTCGAGTCACGTCAAATTATAATCCTTGGACCAAGCTGGTGGTCTCCGAGAACGAGCCGGCTGCATTCTGCGTGGACAAGGCTCCGGACGGGAATCTCCAACTTCTACCCTCTGGTCCCCACTCTCCGGCTGCCTCTCACCCAGACCGGCGTCCCCCGGAACAAGATTCAAGTTTCCACGGGGAGGACCACCTCCCACAGCAGACTTTACGAGCGGGTTCCTTTCGATGCTAGACGCAGCAGCCCTCTCCCTTGTCTGGACAGCCTCCGGAGCCGCAGGTGGATGATACCCCCATATGAAATCCTGTCCTTCTGCAAGGCTTTGAGACTCTGGGTGTCGTCCAGCAGTCTGATCCACAGGGGTCCTCTGGTTGTCCCGCCCCATCGATTCTGAAACAGAACAAGCAACATAAGGCTTCATTCGATTAAAATGGACAACACTCTCCGAACCCCCCTCTGATAGCTGCACTCTATACAGCATATCCGACACCCTTTCTAAGATTTTAAATGGCCCCTTGAATCGTCTTTGCAACTTAGGGCACACACCCCGTTTACGAGTTTTATTTTGAATCCAAACTAATTCACCAACGACATAGTAATGGAAATTGGCTCGAAAATCAGCATGAATCTTCTGTCGCTGAGAAGCTTGACTCTGATGCCTTTTCACTGCTTCCACTACTGTAGATAAACTTTCTGCTATTCCGGTCACATATTCATTTACGGACTGAAATTTCTGCATATTATCTACACCCAACATAATATCCACAGGAAGGACCATCTCCTGCCCAAATAACACTTTATACGGTGTAAACCCGGTGCTTGCCTGCACACTGCTACGATAGGCCATCATCACATATGGTAGCAATCTGTCCCAGTTCATTTGATTTTCGTCCACAAACAGTGAAAGCATTGATAGTAAAGTGCGATTAAACCGCTCTATCAGCCCGTCAGACTGAGGCCGATACGGAGAAGTACGAGACTTGTTTATCTGCAGCAATCTACACAACTCCTTAAACAAACCAGACTCGAAATTTCTCCCCTGATCCGAATGCAAGCTTCGCGGCACTCCATACCGGCACACCCACTCCTCTACCAACACTCTAGCAATAGACTGAGCTTCTTGATTAGGGAGGGGGAATGCTTCGGTCCATTTGGAAAAATAGTCACCAATGATTAAAATGTACTTATTTTTATTTAGAGTTTCTGGTAACGGGCCCAATACATCTACCGCCACACGTTCATATGGGCGGGATACCACAGACATCTGAAGGGGGGCACAAGGGGCCTTTCCATGAGCCTTTCGGGAGGCACAATCACGACACTCCCTACACCATTTTTTCACATCCCCAAACCACCCAGGCCAATAAAAACGATCCTTCACCTTAGCCTGTAACTTCTGAATCCCTAAATGCCCCCCAGTTGGTGTATTATGCAACATGGACAACACCCCCGGCACCAGACTTTTAGGTAAAATCACCTGTACTGCCGAAGCCGCGTCAGAATTTGCTGGGGGTATCCTCACCAACCGCTGGTTTCGCATATGCAATTGATCCCACACTGGAGAATAACTAACAAGGGCAGGGTTTCGCTCACCTTCCCTACCATCATCCACTGACCCATTTTTTAAATTAATAAGCAGCTGAATGTTTGGGTCCTCTTGCTGAGCCTTAACCAACTCATCTTCACTCTCTGGCAGATCTCTTATAGGCCCCCCCATTCCCTCAGCCTCACGCACTGCTCGAACTACAGTTACTGGTACCCTAGACGGAGGGACATTACCACAATCCTCCCTACTACCTCTACTCCCAGATCCGGGGAGCCTTGAGAGAGCATCTGCATTGGTATGCTGCTTACCTGGTCTATGAATGATCTTATATTGGAAGTTGGCCAGTTGCTCTAACCAGCGAGCCAACTGCCCCTCCAACCCACTGAAGTTATGCAACCAACGCAATGAACTATGATCAGTTCTCAACAAAAATTCCCTCCCAAGTAGATAATGTTTGAAATGCTTTGTAAAGGTTACCACACTAAGCAGCTCCTTCTTTGTGGTGGCATATTTACGTTCTTGTTTAGTCAGAGCTCTACTAGCATATGCCACCACCCGCTCCAAACCCCCATCCTCTTGAGACAACACAGCCCCCACTCCTACATCACTGGCATCAGTGTCTAAAATGAATGGCTTTTTAGGGTCTGGGTAAGCCAAGACCGGAGCACTAATAAGTCTTGACTTTAATTGCTGGAAGGCTTCTTGACACTCTTCCCTCCAAACAAATCTTTTTCCCTTTTCGGTGAGCTGATGTAAAGGCCGAGCAATCTCAGCAAACCCTTTAATAAATCTCCTATAATAGGAGGCTAATCCTACAAAACTTCTCACCTCTGTCTGGGTTTTAGGTGTAGGCCAAGCCTGTACTGCTTCTACCTTAGATGGATCTGCCATTACTCCCTCCGCAGAGATAACATGGCCCAAGTATTGCACCTGGGAGGAAAAAATGGTACACTTGGAAGGTTTAACCTTAAGCTTAGCATGACGAAGTTTCAAAAGAACCTCCTCCAATCTCTGAAGGTGCTCTTGGAAAGTTCGCCCAAAAACAATTATGTCATCCAAGTACACTAAACAAGTGGTCCACTGCAGGTCAGCCAAAACAACATCCATGAGACGTTGAAAAGTACTTGGAGAGTTGCATAATCCAAAACTTAAAACGTTAAATTCAAACAGACCCTGACGAGTAATGAATGCTGTCTTAGGTCTATCCTGAGGGTCCACCTCCACCTGCCAGTAGCCACTTACTAAGTCCAAAGTGGAGAACCAACAAGCATTTGTCAGGCTATCGAGGGCATCGTCAATCCTAGGGAGGGGATAGGCATCCTTCCTGGTAACATCATTTAGTTTACGATAATCTACGCAAAAACGAAGACTACCATCTTTTTTTTTTACCAAAACCACCGGTGCTGCCCACGGACTACATGATGGACGAATAATGCCATTTTCTTGCATCTGCTTTATCTGCTCAACAACCTCCTGCTGGAGGTGCAAAGGTACACGCCGAGGAGGCACTTTAACCGGCGGTGCAGAGCCTGTATCTATTTTATGCAAAGCAAGATGAGTTCTCCCCAAATCATTATCCCCCTTACTAAACACCGACAAATTACGATGCAACACCTCCTCAATAGCCTGCATCTGACTAGAATCAAACCCTCGATCCTTCAACCCAAAATGTGACACTAAATA